TTGTCGTTTTCTTTCTACGCGGTCGTTACTTCTTATGCGTCTACTACGTACGTTACTAACGTACTGTGTTGGTTCGGTTGTTAGTAGACTAGATCTTGTTGGTCGTCTCTCTCTCTCTCTCTCTCTCTCTCTCTCTCTCTCGAGCAAGTACTCACATGTATCTGTGAGTTATATACTGGATTCGGGTGCGTCAGGGCCACATACTTCATTCACCTTGAGGGAGAGAACGTTCGAGTTGTTGCTAGTCATAAATTGAGGATCGCCCTAGATCTGGTAGATCTGCGATCTCCCCTTATCTTGGTCTTATTCCGAGAATCTGTAACACTTTTTGTCAAGCTTTGGCAGAGGTTATGGCCTTGCTTTTGTTTTTTTGGTGTGGTGTGGTGTGTGTGTGGGTGGGGGAGGGGGACGGGTTTGGTTTAATAAGGTGCGAGCATAACACCAGCTATCGAGGAAAGGAGGGCCAGAATGCAGCTCTTTCAAGGTCAAAGAAGTGTGGAGAAGTCATTTCAGAGGAGAAACTTGGAGACGGTTAAGCACTAAAGAAATGGCAAAGTACTGAAGTTAGTACCCAAAACCACTGTTTCTAAGGATATATCCGAAGAAAAGGAACTTTTGAACCCTGTTAGAAGATTTAAGGGTGTTAGACTAACGGGCTTAGAAAATTTGGAGATTCAAGTCTCTGCCTATCTGTAAATGGATGCCTGAAGAGAGGATTCTATTCCTTATCCCAAAGGAGTATACAAATGAGGCAATGTGACAATACAGACATCAAAGGGCCAATTGAAATGGTGCTTAATGTAGTCTCATCGATGACCACCTTAGTTCATCCTATAGAAACTGAAAAGGATCTAGTGTAAAGCAATGAATTTGCTTTACATGCTTGAAAAATTGGGGTTTTCAATGATTACTGCTTATGCTTGCGGTAGATACAGGGAGGCGGATGGGTTGCCGTGTTTTGGAATTCAGTAGTGGCTTGCAGTTCAGGGTTTAGAAGGTCCAAAGGGTGCTGATAAAATATCTGATTGACGTTTTTTCTAGGATAACTTTAGATATGGAAGTACTACGAAATTCGATGTTGGGAGGGCCCTATTGATATGATACCACGGATTTAGATTGTTAACAATGAGATTAGAAATGAGGATGTTTACTACGGTTTGAGTTGCGCATTAAGAGGAGAAACAGGGGAGATGTATTATGAGATAAGGAGGTCTCTTGTCTCCCTTTTTGTTCACAATCAATAATTTCAAAAGGCTTGCAATGTTATTTAGTGAAATCAGTCAGGCTACTCTTGGTTTTTCACATTTCTAGGCAGGTATGTTGTGTCACACGCTTTTGTAGGGTTCTCGGGAACCCCTCGCTTGTAGAATTGAAAATCTCAAATATCGGGATCTCACCCAAGATTGTGTACATGATTGGCTAAATACGAAGTAGATAAATACAAACTATAAATCGAGTGTGAGAAAGAAAGAAAACATAAAAAAATATACCACCGCAATACACGATTTACGTGGTTCACCCTGTAAGGTTATATATGCGACATCAGCAAGTAGAAATCCACTATTTCAATGAAGATTATAATTTTGGGTTGCAAGAAATAATACCTCTCTTTAAATATCGGTAAAAAAACTCTCACTGATCTTCCATTTTAAACTCGTTCTCATGACCGAACAACACCGTCGATCAACGTCTTTCCTAATGTTGTACCGCTATCGAAAGAGTACCTGGAGAGCAACCAAGAGACTCTCTCTTTAGAAGTGGTAACGTAACTAACTCAAAATCTCATAGGAATACCGTCTCTCTCTTGGAGACCCATTTCTATCTTGGAGATCCCTTCCCATAACCCCCAAAAGGATGAACCTCTAAAGGATGGGTATTATGTCTTTCTTGATTCTTCTATATAGATATCACTTTCTTACTTATCAAGGAAGTCTATTTTCTTTTTACCATAATATCCTTAACCATTGGAAAAAATATGAATATAGTGATTTGGCTATCACCAAACCCAATCATGTCCACCTTTGATAATAAAATAATCATAATTACGTTGGCAACTTTCATTGAGAGAGAATTATGTGCTTCCATCGATCTATTCAGTCAATGTCTTCAATGTTCATGATCAGATGATAACTGTTGTAGTACTCAATTATATAATGGTTGCATGTCAATTATCTTTGGAGTCTATGTTTTTAACTCTGTGACTCAAAGGTCTATGCTTTGGAACTATATGAGAGATATAGGGGTGGTTATTACAATGCCCTGGTTGGTTTCTAAGGGATTTCAACACCTTACTAGATTATTTAGAAAGACTGGGTGGCAGTAGTTCTTTACCTTAGGATGCAGGGGATTTTGCATAGGCTATGTTTGATTGCATATTAACTGACCTTGGTGCGGCAAAAAAGATGGTTTTCTTGGTCGAACAATCAACTTAATAAATGATGTATAAGAAGAAGATTGGACCGTGCTATGACAACTACAGATTTGATGTTGCCCTATCAAGAATCCAAGGTAGAGATTATCCCCAAGAGGAACTTTGACCATTGCCCTTTGTTAGTGTCAACATCAGATTTGGGTTTGGTATAACGAAAACCATTTAAGTATTTATCAATTTGGAAAATGTGCTTAGTTTTTATTGATATAGTTTCGGCATCTTGGCAACACAAAGTGGGGGGTACACTTATGTTTCGCTTGGTTACCAAAGTGAAACGATTGTGGAAAGACCCGCGTGCATGGAATAAATATGTTTTTGGTCATGTGGATGATTATATCACAGCAGTCTAGCAATAGTTGTCCTCTTTACATGACTGTTTGAGCTGTGACCTTCTAATGATGCTATGATGTTTGAGGAGAAGAAATGTACTTAGAAATGACAGACACTCTTGGCCCATGAAGAGAGTATATGAAGACAAAAGTCAAGGAAAAAAAGGTTAAAGGAGGGGGATTCTAATACTAAATTTTTCCATCTTTCTATTGTGATAAGGAGGAGTGATCGTTATTATGTCTATTAATGATCAAAATGAGATTTTTTTAGCCATTGAAACAGATATTGACAACCATATGGTTGATTTTTTTTGAAGATCTTTTAACCCATGAAAGTGATATTGATCCTCAATTGTCTGATCAATTCTTGCCATGGTTACTGCTTAACTCTAATCAGAAGGAGAAACTGGTCGAGGGAGTAACTATGGAAGAGATAAAAAACTGTATTTAGAACATGAAATTTGATAGTGTCCCAAGCCCTGATGGATTTTCTGTGGAGTTTTATAAATTCGGGTGGGAGGTAATTAAGAATAATCATTTTTTAACTCTCAAAGATTTCATCAAGAAAGGTAAACTCTCTAAACAGATCAATTTCACTTTAATTCCTAAAGTAGATTCACCTAATGTTATGAAAGATTTCCACCCTATTGGTTTATGTAACAAGATCATTAGTGAGCTCATCTCTAATCGTCTATGGTTGGTGCTTGGTAATCTTATTGACCCTAGACAAGTAGCCTTTTTGAAAGGCAGACTTATCACTGATAACATTCTCATGGCATATGAACTTATTTATCTTTATCATAAGAATTCAATAAAGGCTAAGATGTACTTGCAACTTGATTTGAACAATGCTTATGATAGGGTATGTTGGGCATTTATTTTAGCCAGATTGCAAGCCTTGGGTTCTCCATATATTTTTATTTTTTGAGTTGGACTTTGTATGTTCACTCTCCCGTTCTATGTGTTAAGAAATGGTTCTCCAAAGGGCTTCTTTAGAGATAAAAGAGGCTTGAGGCAAGGGGACCCTCTCTCTCGATATTTGTTTTTGCTGGTCATGGATTTTCTTAGCAGATAGCTCGATCATGCTATGATGCAAGGGATGATTCCTAAGGCCTTTCCTTTAGGATGTGATTATAGGGTTTCACATTTATTTTATGTTGATGATGCTGTAATTTTTTATTAAGCGTCTATTTCTTCTACCATTTTTGTAAAGTAAGGAGTTGTCTCCTTTTTTATTTTTATTAATGAAAAATGGATAGGAGGCCATCTCCCCACAGACTTACCCAAAAAAACAAGAAGTAAAGGTAATCATGTTAGTGCAATTAGCTTAATCATCATGCCTAAGAGTTGTTCATGTCGTGTACCTATCAGGGTGTGTGTCTTTTGTAGAATCTTTTCCATCTGTTCCATATGGACTAGTGAGCTATTTAATAGCTCAAGATAGATATAGGAGCTTGAATCCACCTTAAATTCTCAAGTAAGTCATGTTTTGATGCCCTCTTATAGGAGCATTGTTGAAACTCTTGGATAAGTGGTGATAGATGACCTGCTTTGAGGTGGGTTGCCCCATTAAGAGTATTGGATATGAGCCTTACAAGTTTGTAGACTTTCCACTGTCTTGTGAATGTATATATGAAATTAGCAAAGAAGGCAATAAGAGTTATTGGTAACCCTAAGCACTAGCAATAAAGGGTCAATAGAGATGCCACTGAGGACAAGGAGAGTTGTGCAAGTGGGAGTGGTTGCGACTGATGAAGGATATAAGGGTCCTCACTTTGGATGAAGAGGGAAGTTGGTCAGCCTATCTCCTCTTGTTGGGGTTTAGGGGAGTTTCATAGCACTGAGATTTCACTTAAAACAAGATTATGTGAGTGATGTTCATGGG